AACAGGGGAGGGAACTAGCTGGAGATCAACACTTGACCAAGTGGAAAGATCACTGGGTATCAGCCGAACCTTAGAGCAAGGCCACCCACGCAGATGTGTTCAGTTTGTAACCAGTCATTGAGCTATATACTTACAATATGTGCACTTTCCTGCATACATGTTATATTTCCCCCCCAAAAAAAGTCAGAAAGACCCCTGAGGATCCCTTTAAAACCCACACACGTGGACCCATTCTCACAGGATCTGCCTCAGAATGTCTAGGATGTGTCCCCGGCACCTACTGAAGTTTTAAAGCATTCTGGGCTAAGAACTATGGTAAGAAGTGACTGGGGGCTCCAGGGCAGATGAGGGAGGGTGGGGTTTAAGTAAGGGAAGGACACTGAGTCAGGGCTTCTGTCACACTTAGAATAATGAAGTTCCAGAAAGTTAACAGATTGATAGGTTGATCTGATGCACTAAAACCTCTGAGTGCCAAAAAAAAAAGAACAAGCATTTTAAAATGTGAGAAGTAAGTAACTGGGTGGAAAAACATTGTAGCAAAAGGTTAATAGCCTTAATATTTATAAAGAGCTCATACAGATCAATAAGAAGATGAGCACTCAATAGAAAAACAGACTGTGGACATGAACAGACAATTCAAAAGAAGAAATACAATGAGCCAATACACTTATGAAAAATGTTCAGCCTCATCATTAATCAAATAAATGCAAATGAAAACAACAAAGAGACATTATGTTTTGCCTAGCTAATTGGCAAAGATTAAAGACACGATAATACCCTGTGTTGGTGAGGGTTTGGAAAAAACAGGCATTTTCATTCACTGGGGGGAGCACAAATTGGTGCAACCTTTCCAGAGGGCAATTTGGCAATGTGCAAAGCCGAGGGAGATTGCATACCCTTTGACGCAGCAATTCCGCTTTTAGGAAGATTGCCTTAGGAAATGATTGTGGATAATAATAACAATAATAACTAACCTTTATTAAATGCTCTCTACGTGCCAGGTTCTACACGCATTATCTCATATAATCCTCACAGCCATCATCCCACGAGGTAGGAGCTATTGTTTATCAATCACCTGTATTTTACAGATGAGAAAACCGAGGGGCAAAAGAATTAAGTCAATGACCTGTGGACACAAAGCTAACAAGCATCAAAGCCTGGATTTGAACACAGGCGGTCTGAGTCTGGCGCCATCCTGCCCAGACAGCAGTATACACTAGAGGTGTGCACAGATGAAGCTACAAAGGTGTTCCTCTGGAGTTGTTTGTATTAAGAGGTTGGGGGCATTCTAAATACCCCGCAACAGGAATCAGTTACATAAACTATGATACACCCATACAGGAATAGCATGCAGCCATGAAAAATGATGCTATAGAAAAAAATGTGTGTGTGTGAATACTGAAGGGTTTTTTCTATATGCATAAAAGATCTCTGAAAGGGTGTAAAAGGAACTGATAAAATTGATTGCCTCCTGGAAAGGCAACATGGTCCAAAGTTAGACCAGGACTTGTTTTTTAAGCCATATACTCTTTTTCACTCCTTGAATTTTGAATCGATTATATTATCTTTTAAAATATGCATATATTGGACCGGCCCGGTGGCGCACTGGAGAGTGCGCTGCTTGGGAGGGCGGCGGCGCTCCCGCCGAGGGTTGGGATCCCATGTGGAGACCGGTTCCCGCTCACTGGCTAAGCGTGGTGCGGGCGCAACACGGAGGGTTGCGATCCCGTTGCCGGTCCCCAGTATGGGCGCGACACCGAGAGTTGCGATCCCATTACCGGTCAGTAAAAAAGACAAAAAAAGGAAAATAAAATAAAATATGCATATATCTATAAATATAAACATGTATGAATTATGTTATAGAACTTGTTCCATATAATAGAACTTTATTTCCTTGAAAATGCTACTAACAATTCCAAGAAAAACTTTCAAGGCCCTTACTTAGAGAGTCATACTGAAATCAATAAAGATACTTCTTTAACTGTGTTTACCCACATGTTCTCCAAATCGATCTGCTCATGGAAACCTTTTCTCAAGTAATATCTATTCTCATCTCTCCAGATACTGGTATCTTATAGAATTCAGTTTGGGAAATGCTATTATTAATATTTAATACCAAAATGAAACAGCTACATTGTTTCATTAAATGAAAGAAACATGTTACTGGCACTGATCCATTTTGTTTAAACGTGGTGTGTATGTGTTATTTCTGAGTACTGGGATAACGGATGATTTAGTTTTCTTCTTTTTACCTGTCTATATTTTTTAATTTTCTAAAATGAACAAAATTAATTCACAAGAATGTATGTAGTACATTTTCCTCTGTTCCCTGAACCCCATTCCCATCTATTCCCTACTTACAAGCAGCAGCTCAGGGTTGAGTTCAATGAGGGAACCCCTATCTCTAGCCAGGTCCTCTCACCTGCCTTTCTCCAGAGCCAGCACTGGCCAATTGTCAGAACTCTGAGCTGCCAAGGAAAGGACCAATGGCCTGGACAAGGCCAGTCAGTCTGCACACAACTTGCTGGCCCCAGCATCATGGTCTTCATTCCTCAGAGAGAGATGAGACTGCAAAAGCAGACACCAGCCTGATGCATTGCAGATCCAGATAGATACCTGGGCTTTTTTATGTTAGCTCTGTGGCAGCCTGGCTATGTGGCTCCAGTCAAGTTTCTTAACTGGTCTGAGTCCCGTCTTCACCATCACTGTCGGTATGACACTTGCCTCACAAAGCTCAGGGACCAATGAGAGTGTGCATGAAGGTGTTGCATGTCCTGTAATGGACTATACCAATGGAAATTATTACATACTCCAGAAGGGAGTACTGGCTTGCCCTCATCTTCCTGAGAACAGAGTACTTTTTACTTCTTGTGTTTTAGGTGGTAGGGAGAGGAGCAAGGAGGTGAAGCCTGGGAGACTGGGGCATGTGGAAATACAATGTTGTCTAAGAACAATGGGGAAACTTCTCAGTTTGGCATTTGCAGCTTTGCATCCATGATGGGGCCTATGCCCGCCAGTGTAGCCCATGGCTTGTTACCCCACATGGCCATCCCACTTGTCTCAGTCAAGTCAGCCCACCCACTGGACCACGTGTGGTTCTCCAAAGCCACAGCACTGCCTTGGCCTGCCTCGCCTCTCTCCCTTCTTCCAGTCCCGCCCTTTAGTCTTAGCTGAGTTAGCCCTGCCCCAGCCTGGGTTGGGGTCCCTCCTCTGGGCTCCACCAGTCCCAGCCTTCATGAACCATGCTATGGTGTCGATGCCAGGTTACAGCTCCCTGGCTAAACAGAACTTTCTGAGAGTGAGAGCCGTGTCTGTCCTCCGGTCTGCCCGTGTCCTCTAGGCCCAGCAAATGCCTGGAGTGTTGGGACAGGAGTTAGATCATGAGCACCAAAGACAAGGAGATCTGAGTTTGAATCCCAGTTCCATCACTCCCATTAGGGAAGTGACTTTACCATTCTGAGCCTCAATTTCCCCTTCTGTACGTGAGTTTATTCATTGCAGTGAACTCATGGGGTTATTACGAAGGTTTCATAAGCTAGTATAAAGCTCCTAGTACCATTCCAGGCACAAAGAAAACTCTCCATAAGTAATAGCCGCATTGATATCATTGCAGACTCTTTAATGCTTATTGAATGGAACTAAGAAAGGACATGGGGGTGGGGGTCTCCCAGGCTCACGCCCTCCCTTCCCCCAGTCCAGCCCAAGGACGGTGGCCCTAACCCTCCGCTGCTCATGCTTGGTGTTGTTCCCACCACCACCATGCTTACCTACCTGCCTTGCACCCCACAGCCACCCGGCCCAAGCTGAAGAAGATGAAGAGCCAGACAGGTCAGGTGGGTGAGAAGCAATCGCTGAAGTGCGAGGCAGCTGCCGGTAACCCCCAGCCCTCCTACCGCTGGTTCAAGGATGGCAAGGAGCTCAACCGCAGCCGCGACATTCGCATCAAGTACGGCAATGGCAGGTGAGCAATGTCCACACCACCCCCCATCCAACGAGCTGTCCTCCTTCCTGCAAAGGAGGGGCCTGAGCTGGGCAGAGGCCAGGGCTGTGCTCCCAGACCCACCCATGGGCCCAGTGCCAGCCCCTCTCTCCCGCTCCCCTTCCTTGCCACACCCAGCCTTCTCCCTGCAGCTCTGGGCCCCTCTAGTTACATTGGTCCAGTGTTGCAGACCGTAGACAAGAATTAAGCAAGTAACCTCTCTGGATGGTTGAAGGCAATTTGATTGTTAAAGTCAGCTCTACCAGTGGAAGTCCCTACTTGTCCCTAAAACTTCTCAAAAGACCTGCTACAGTGTCTGAAAGCCCCATCATTTGGCAATCTTTGGTGAAAGACCCTGACTCCAGAATGCCTCTGGGAGGTCACACATGATGATGGGCTTGTTCCTAAGCTTAGCAGACTATCATTTGTCAGAGAGCTAGGTAAGAGGAAAAGGAAAAAACTTTGACGGGCACTGGGGGAGTCTGTATCTCAGACAGTTTTCCCTATGATGTGGGAATTGTCTTTAATCTTGACTTAGTGCTCCAGGGAAATGAATCAGAAGCTCCCTGAGTCTCCAGGCTCTGGAAGACAGCCTCTCTTCCATGTTGGGTTGGTCAGGAAGGGGGCGACAGGAACCAGAGAAGCCAGGAGTCCAAGGGCAGCTCACCACCTCTCTCCTGCCTCTCAAGAACAAGAAGGGGGAAGCCACTGTCTGCCAGCCCTGGATACCAGGTGGGCTTCCCTCTCTGACTGAGGAGTTAGTTCCCCAGCCTTTTCTGCCCCCTCCAGAGTAGCTTACAACTCACTCTTCCTGGCTGTCCTTTTCTTCCTCACCCTTAAATGCAAATAAAGATGATTTTTAAAATGGCCCAGCCTGCCCACCACAGCAAGGGAAGGAAAGAAGGCCGGGCCCCGGCCATTGCTGGTTTGCTGTGTGGCCTCTGCACCTTCATCTCTGGAAACCGCAGAGGAGAATGTGGGAGTCAGGGGCCTGGGAGCTGCTTCCCTTTCTCTGACTCTCCTTCCAAGAGTGGGGAGCAGAGACAACACTGGGCACCCCAGAAAGTAGACCAGGCAGAAAACAAAAAGTCATATAAGAAGAGTTTAGTTTACATCAAACATTTGCAGCTGAGAGAATGCTGCTTCCTGAGAAAACTGCAGTGGCTGGCAGGGATTGGGGGGTCTAGTGTGTCCCCAGTCTACAGTGTTGACAAGTAATTCAGGCTGCCAACCTGCTCGCCTTCTGAGGCCACCCCACCCCTTCCTGCTGGCCTGCTGAGCCTGGCTCCCAGCTGGAGAGGCGAACAGATAGGCTGGGAGCTGAAGTTGTTGGGGCCCCATTTCCCTCTTGTCCTCCCTCTAGAAGATGGCCTTTCCTCAACGTCAGAGACAACAGAAATCAGAGAGAGTGCTCCCCTGTGCTTCTCATTACCCCCAGACACGCCCACAACCTGCCCACCCTCATCACACCCCCACCCCGGGCCACACGCTCACACTCACCCCCACTCTCCCGCACACGTGTACACACACGCCCCCTCAGAGCCCTGGCACCCCTTAACTCACCCCTTCCTCTGGTGACCTCAGCCTCTCTCTCCCTGCCAACAAACCCACCCCTCGCAGCTCCTCTGCGATGCCTTCCCTCCCTGCCGCTGCTTCCTCGGCCTCCCCAAGCAGCCACCCCATCTCGCTTCTCCCCTCTGCCACCAGCGGAGCCGCTGAGGGAGTTACTCTCGTGCCCCCTGACTCCTCACCCTCGTCCCCCACCCACTCTGTCCTGCCAGGATCTGCCTTTAAATACATCCCAACCTCTCTATGGCCGTGGCCCTTGAGAGACCCAGCGATCTCTGAGCTCCCTGGTCCCAGGCCTCCAGGCCTCTCAGCAGCCTTCGGCATGGGACCACCTGCTCCTTTACCCCTGTGGTGCCCATCCTGGTCCTCCTGTGAGTCTGAACACTCAGTCACCATCAATGCTGGAACTTTCCTGTGCTTTAGGCCTCATTCCTCTCCTCCCTCCCTCTCCGCCTGTAGGTGGCTTCACCCTCCCCCAGTTGCTTTAAATATCTGCGACCTCAAGTCTCCATCTCCAGGCTTGATGGCTTTTCTACCTGAGTTGCAGACCCATCCTGCCAGCTAAACATTAGGTACCACCCCTGAGATACCGCACAGACATTTCTGCTTCAGAACGCCCCAAGCTAGCCTCAGCCCCACCTGCACCCCCTGCCTTGCTAAGCTAGCCCTGCCTCTCCTCCTGTGTTCCGCTCTCAGCCAGGACACAACGAGACTCCCTTCTGCTCAACACCTGCCCCCTTGACATCCCTCCAGGTGATGCCACGTCGCTGGAAGGAGGCCCCTTCTCCCTGCCCTGCACATTTCTTACCTGGTCTCCTTGCATTTAGACTCTTTTCCTCCACTCTTGGCCACTCCCCACCTTTTCTGGGCCACAGGACCCTTTGTGAATATATTTCTCCATCTAATATATATGTATTGAGAATCGACCAGGTGCCAGGCACCCTGTTAGAGGCTCGGGATATGCCAATGAGCAAAACAGACATGATCTCTATCTACACGAATCTCTATTCTAGCTTCCAGTATAGAATTTAGTAAAAGCCTCAACCCTTTCTCCAGAAAAAAATGTGCCTTATATACCCCATTTTCCTTGCAATTCTAGAGTTCCCCAGAGTCACTGACCCCCGTGAGTGCCTCATAGGGGATGATCTTTCTAATGTGGAGATCCAATCTTGAGATCTTTAGAGCCAACTCTATGCCAGGTACAGCCCAGGCCTTGTGATCCTTCCAACTGTCCTCTTTCTGGCCTACAAGTCACTGCCCCGCTGCTCCCTGACACTGCTGCACTCCCGACCCCGGTCTTTCCTTTCATAACACTGGACTTGGACCCAGGCTGTTCCCCGTGCTGGCAGCTCCCCTCCCGCTCTTGTCCAAGGCCCAGCCTAAATGTCATGTCTCTGGGATGCCTTCCTAAGCCTTCCAGGCAGCTCTCATTGTCTCCTCCTGTGGTACCTTGGACATGGATTCACTGCGTTGTTGAGGATTCTATCTCTTCTTCTAGCATGAGAGAGCCTCAAAGGTTGGGTCCCCACCCACATACACCCCTTTCTCTCCTGGAGGGCCTGGCAGAGGAGATGTACATTCAGTTTTGAATTGACAAGACACTTGCAGAACTACCCCTCCTCTCCTGGGTGCAGGGTCCCACCAGGCTAGGCAGGAGGCCCTTTGGATTGTCCTGCCTTCTGAACAAGTTACTGTCCTGATTAACTCTCAGTTTCATCTGACAGATGGGTTACCCAGTCCAGAAACAGGGCCTCGTCAGGTCTTCTTCTCCTGGGTATTGTGGATCCCTAAGAGTGTGAAGTGTGCCCCCTGCCACCTACCTGTCAGGGCCCTATCCCATTTGCTGCATTCTGAAACTTCCTCGTCCCACCTGTCCAGCCCCCAGGCTACCAGCAGTGAGTTGTTAGTGGTGGAGGAGTGTGCTGTGATAGGGAACTTCTGATTCCCTGGAACCAAGGTCCCCTTGGAGTGACTCCAAGGGAGCTACCACCTCCACACACTGTCCACCCTCAGGCTATACACAGCTCACCTGGCACAGGGGCCAGAGGCAGGGGCAGGAGCCTCCCTTCTGGCACAATCTTCTCTTTGCTCCCTGCCCACACTGCAGCGGGCTCCCTGGTCCTCCTAGCACTTGGGCTGCTAGGCCACACTGTCTTGGCATCTCCCTTGGCCTGCAGAGACCCCCTCCCCCATGGGTGCTGTCTGTCTGTGTGCCCCACACTGGGACATCTACCCGAGCCTTCCTGTGCCGGAAGAAGACTGTCCCCCCAAGCCCTGGGCACTGGGCCCTCCCCTGCAGAACCGCATGTTCCTTTATTTATGAGGGGCAGGCTGGAACAGGCCCCTCCAGCAGGCAGGGGAGGCAGATACTGAGGAAAATGTGGAGGACAAGGCCGCCCAGATCCCATGCCTGCCAGCAGAGAACCAGCTGGGGAAGGATGAGGGGGGCGACCATCACAGGGGCAGACCTGGGTCAGCATGGTGATGGGCACCAGAGCGCAGCATCCAGACTGCCAGGAAAGCGGAGAGAGTCCTGCATCCTTGGGGCTTCCGACTAGAACTAGGAGTGAGCAGAGAGGGTGTGGTGACCCGAGCTCCTTCAGGGCCTGAGAGACACACAGAACCCCCACTCAGCTCTGACCCAAAGCCCCTTATACCCACTCCCTGGGATCACCAAATAGCTGGTATACCGAGATGCCCTCAGCCTGCAAATCCAGGTGTCGTTTGTTTCTGTCCCCTTGCTTCTGTCTTGTTCCTCCCAGGGGAGGGGCTCTCCCTGAGCCATGTGCCTACCTTCCACAGGTCTCACTCACCTCCATTTGGGGAGCCCTTCCCTGAGTGAGTCTCACTCTGCCTTATCCTGCTACATATGATGTCAGGTCAGGAAATTCCTCTGAATTCAGTTGTGTGTGACAAGGAGGATCTGGCTCTGGGACCCCTATGAATTGACCCCCTGACCCTCAGGTGATCCCTGCCCTGCTTATCCAATGTGCAGGGAAATGAGAGGAGCTTTGTCCCAGGAAGCTAGGCTTTGTGGCATCTAATTAGGCTGGAGCAGGGAAGGAGAAGCTGTCTTAGTCAGAGGGGCCTCCAGGGCTCTGTTTAATGAAGGAAGAAACTTTAATTGACCAAAGAGACTTGTGGGCAGGCACCAGGCCAAGGAGACAGAGACTGGCTTGAACCAGAAAGGTAATATGGTATAGTCAAGCAGTTGTCACCACAACATCAGCAAGGACATCACCACAGCAGTAAGGTCGATTGGCAAGCCAACCTTGCAGCAGCCACGTTTGGGGGATCTTGGGGTGAGGATGTCTGGGAAGAGGCCCACCTCCAGATGCGGAGGCAGAGCCCAGGACAGAGGTCCCCAAAGGACAGGCCCAAACAGTGGTCATGGGCCAGTTTGCATCTCCTCGACCCCTAGCCCAGCCTCTCTGCTCACCTCCCCTAGTCCTTCTTACTGCATCAGCTTCATGACTTGATTTCACATCCCTGGGGCTCAGGGCAATGACAGCTCTACCACCCTACCTCGTGTTCCACCACCTCTCCAACCCACTACACATGTTCTGGGAATCTGGTTAATTCAGCACTAAAAAGAAAAGGAGGTTGCATCATGTAAAGAAATTTTCATGCTACTTCTTGCTTCCCACTGTGGGCCCAGCTGAAGTCCCAGGCTTTATTTGGAGCTCATGCTGGCCCCCAGAAGCACTGGGACAGAGGGAGAGTGGAAGCTGTAAATAGACCCTTGCAGGGTCTAGGCACCCTGGGGTAGATGCAGGGAAACTTCGAGACAAATGGAGAGGTTTGGCCGGAGCTTCAAAAAGAAGAGGGGAACCAGAGCCAGGTGCCCTGGAGTCACAGTACTGGGGGGCCCTGCCCAGTCCTGGCACCACAACTCTCAACATGCAGTGACTGGGTGCAAATCCCTCTCAGAGGGGGCTAGCCCCAGCTTCAGGGTCCAGACATAGCTCGTGTCCTCACCAACTGCAGCTCCTGGTCTCCCTCTACCTTTGCCTTGCTGGGTATCCTTGGGCAAGTTAGGAAGCCCCTCTAGGACTCAGTTTTCCCACCTGTAAGAAGAGGGCACCCAGATTGGCCCTGAGGATCAAGTCAGGATCTTTTTGTTCCCTGAGGTATACAAGCTCCCAGCACACAGAAGGCGCTCAATAAACATTTGTTGAATGAATGAATGAATGAAACAAAAGCCCCTTGGCAAGGACACAGAGTGCCCCTTAATGGCAGGGCTGATTTGAAGGCGGGGAGAGCCACAGGTTTGGACTGGGAGTCTGGGCACAGTTGTCATGGGAACCTGTCAGAACAGCTCTCCCGGGTACCTGGGAATAGGCCTTGCATATCCGGAGTGACAGGTTGCCGCTTCTAAGGGAAGGCTGAGGCAACTGGGAAGGAGGGAGGTGCCCATGTGACTTCCTTAGAGGTCTAGCTTTCCTCCCCCAGAAAAATATTACAAAGAAGACCCAGCCCTAGAAAAGTGGATATGAGTCTTCCTAGACTTAGAGCCTGTGCGTGGCCACTCGGCCCGTCCTGTGTTGTCCTGAGGGCCCAGGTCTCCCTCCAGCTTCAGGGATTCCATATTCCACCTGGACCTCAGAGATGGCTGGTCTGATTAAACCTACTTCCCTTCCAACCTGCACAGCCATTGTGGCTCTGTGGGGAGAGGTGACCGCTGGGTGACCGCTGGGGAGCCACAGCTGGCCCTGGATCATGCCTCTTCCCCTCTGATCCCCTCCCTAACCAGAAAGAACTCACGACTACAGTTCAACAAGGTGAAGGTGGAGGACGCTGGGGAATATGTCTGCGAGGCCGAGAACATCCTGGGGAAGGACACTGTCCGGGGCCGGCTCCACGTCAACAGCGGTAGGTGGCCCCCCGACAAAGGGAAGGGTCTTAGAGGGGTTTGGCAGGGTGGGCCAGTTGCCCCCCAGCCCTGGGGAGGCCCGCACATGATCCATCTTGCACCAACTCCCCTCCCTCCTGCGGCTGCCATATCAAGCCCAAGATCTCAGCCGATTCAGAGAAATGCAGTCGAAGCATAAATGTTTAGCTTTGTTATCTGGGCCTGGAAGAGCCGCCAGCTCTCATTTTAAATACCCTGAAAACTAAATATTTTGAAATCAAGAGGTGGGGGTGGGGGGAAAGATATTTTTAGAAGGCAATTATGGGAGGCTGGGCTGCCAGGAGCGGGTAGGGGAGAGGCGGGCCCGGGGCGTGTGCAGCTGCCTGCCTGCTGCCTGAGTACTGGGCACCTGAGCCCAGGCAGCTCACCACTGGGCCAGGGGGAGGAGGCTCCTGGGGCCCCCAGGGGCAGCCTCTGTTCAGGGATGGCAGACCCCTCCCCAGCAGGTCTTCCTCTCTCCTTGAACACTTGCAAGGTCAGGAGCTCAGGGCACTCCTTAGCTTCTTGTCTCTGCAGTGGCAGATCCAGTTTCAGAGCAGAAGCCGAATTCCTTCTGGGCTATCCTCTCAGCCCTGGTTCTTCCTCTCGACTGGGAAGTTGCCTCTCCTCTCTGCCCAAGCTGCCTGTCCTCAGGCAGTGCCCCCTCCACTCTAGTCCTCCTACTCCAAATCCCACAGATCACTTTCCTCTCAACACTCACAGACTGAGCATACCATTTGGCTACTCATTTATTGGGGTTCACTTCCAGTCCTGCCCCATCCCCAAATCTAATCCTGTATCTGTCGTCACCTGCCTGTACTCCCACCAGATAGCCTTCCAGTACTCCCTAAACACAGCTTCATCTGAAAGAGAACTCATAGTATTCCCTGTCCTAGGACCCTCAGATGAAAACCCAGCTCAGACCCTGCCTGTCCTGTATTGGGTCAGGGACGCCCCTGGTCTCCCAGCCTCTTGGCTCTTGGGCTCCCTTGCTGCTGTGTCTAATGAATCCGCATCTCTGTGTCCTGGTCAGTCTTCTTACTGATCTTGCTCACACCTGTCTCTTTCACTCCAACCCCACCTCAAGCACAAACCTGGCTCAGTTTCATCCCTACTCACCTAAATCAGAGCAGGGCCTCTTAAGGCGCCCTCATCCTGTCATACCCCTGCCCCATGGAGCCACAGAACCAGACTTGGTTCTCACCAATCTGACCCAAAGGATCCTTCCAACCCTAGCCACAGTTGGTCCCCTTTGTGTCTTTCTCCTGTGCCACCTGTCCCACTGCAGTGTCACTCACAGCTCATGCCCCACTCCTGGGGTATGTCTTGGTCAACCATGGTCTGGTGGCAGCTCTTGAATTCTGACCTCAGATCATTCTTTAACTCTCACACTGTTGCTGAACTCTCTCTGTGGGTGTGCCCTCCCGGTGGAGTTGTGAGCTTCAGCAGTGGGGGGCACAGGGACAATGCCCTCTCCCTGGGAGTTACAGCAATAGCTACAATGTACTAAGCCAGGCTCTGCATTATCTCATGAACCCTTACTCCAGCGCAGAATGTATTTTATCAATTATGAGAACCTCAGAGAGGTTAAATATTTTGCCCAAAGTCAAACAGCTAGTTAGTGATGGAGCTGTACAATGTAAAAGTAGCTGGCAAACACTAGCCTGTAAGCTCCATGGAGCTGTGTCTACCCTGTTTACTACTCTAGCCTCAGGGCCTAGCACAGTGCCTGGCTCATACAGGTGCCTGGTAAACACCTTATAAAAGAACTGATAGCCTGCTTCAAGGTCTTTATGCCTTCTACATGTCCCAGCCTGGGTATGGAAGCAGTGGGGGTACTTGGGCCGAAGCTTCTCTGAACCTGTCCCAAACCTGGGAAACTGGGTGGTGCCTGGGGTCTAGCACCTGCTGCCTCTGCCATAGTGGGCAGACATTTTCAAATCCACTTTGGTTTTGGGTTTCCTGTTTTACTAGTCAAGATTTTCTTGGTTAGAAATGACAAGAACCCAACTTAAACCTACATTAAGGAATTTGTCTATTGACTTATAATACTGGGAAGTCCAGAGGTAGGACTGGCCCCAGACATGACAGAGCCCAAGAACTCAGAGGATGAGTGGGGACACTTTCTCCTACTGTGTGTAGGCCTCATTCTTTCCTACTGTACAAGGGGCTCCTCTCATATTTGGGGAATGGAGTGGGAGGAGGAGTTCATGGCCTCAGTCAGCTCCAGGTTTACATCATCCCAGCCTGCCACCCAGAGAAAAGAGATAGCTTTGTCTCTGTGTTGGTACATACAATCACAAGATGTATTCTTACCAACCCTGCATGGATCATGTGTGCAGCACTGTGCTTGGGAGGGTGGGGTCATCTTTGCCAGGCCTATGCATGTGCAGAGGGGTAATTGAGAGGCAAGGTATTGAGACTGAGGGTCTTGCCAGAACTACATGGAGAATAGCATCCGTCTAGGGCTGCTGTTTGCAGAAGAAGAGGGAAGGGCTGCCATGCAGAAAACCACAGTAGTGCCCTCTCTCCTGCACAGGGCTTGGGGCATGAGGCTGGAGAAGTTTGTGAGACCTCTCAGATAAGCTGCAGTCCCACCCCACATGCGGGCTCCTGTCCGCACTCAGCAGGCCACACTCTGATCAGTTTGGGAGTCAGACAGTGGAGCTTTTGGGCTGGGCACTGAGGGCAGCTCTGGAATCCCGCTTTCCACAGGGTTCCTTGCCTCCTTGTCCCTCCAGCCCGGCAGCAGGGCGGCAGAGCGGAGCAGCGGGAAGAGAGTTCAGGGATGGGGTCTACTTCCAGCTCTATGTCCTGCAACCCTGAGCAAGTTACTCCACCTCCCTAGCCTTTGGTTTTCCCATCTTGGGGCTGAGCTGGATGATCTTGAAGCCCCTTCCCCCTAAAATTCTGAGATTCTGAGTTTGATGTTGAGGCTGATGTCCTGTACACTTAACCAACACATGCGCGTGCACACCCACACCCACACACATACACACACACACACCCCTACACCTCTCTTCTCCTGCCCTGAGCAGTCCATGGCAGGCAAGAGCCTACCCTTGATGTGGGGACCAGGAGTGGACACACTGCAGGGGACCAGAAGACCCCCACTGGGGACATTCTCCCAGGCAGAGACGCCTGGGCTCCTTGTTTACCTGCAGAACCCAGGAGACCTACAGCAACCACACCCTGGGGAGGCGGCGGAGGGCGGGCAGCGGGCAGCTGTGCCTGCCCCCCTCTGACTCATCCCAAGGTGGGTTGGCTTGGCCCGCCCCGGCCCCAGGGAAGCCAGGGCTGCAGGAGTGGGGCAGCCAGAAGAGGGCATGGGAGGGAGGGTCATCAAGGAGCAGTGGCTGCTCCAGGGGCATCACTCTGGCTCTTGGATGGCTACTGCTCTGTTCCAGGGAGCCCAGTGCTCCCTCCCCAAGTCAGAGCAGGCCTTCCTTATACCTTCTCAGCACACCAGAGGCTTCCTGTCTCCCTGAGCTGGCTGGGAGGAGGAGGAGTCTACAGGAAGTTTGTGGTGCTTGTAACAAAAGTCAGCTTGGTCCAACCCACTTCTGAGTTAGAAAAACCAGCTGCCTCATCCCAGGTGAAAGTGAACTGGGAAATGTCCTGAGGTAGCTGTACCAGTCCCAGGATGTTAGGTTTTGCCCCAGAGGGCAGATAGGTTTGACCTGGGGTGTCACAAAACCATGGAAGCCCTGGAGAGGCCTCTGGGTCTGTCCCTTACCCAAAGGCATTAAAAGCTACCTGTTTAAACACACACACACACAAACACACATATATGTGCACCCTCACTCATGTATTCAGCAAGCGCTTATTTAGCAACACCCTGCTCTGAGCTCTGGAAACTCACAGTCTTGTCTCCCAACAAAATTCTTCACATGGCAGGAAGCTAAAACCTGCATTCAAAAGTGTCTGCCTTTTGTAACAAGCTGAAGCAGCAGAATAGGTGACTTGAGCAAAGGGAAAGGGGCTACTGCACAGGAGGAAGGGAGCCTCGATGGATGAAGTGGCACCTGGTCCGGGCCTTGAAGGATGAGCAGAGGCTTCCTCCTGAACCAGGGAGAAAAGCAGCTGCAGGACGGGGCAATAGGGAGAGCCATCTCCACATCAGTTCCCACCCTGGCCCATTCCCACTCCTCAAGGGCCCCAGTCAACTCACTCATACCAAGGCACTAATGGCAAATAAAGACTTCCTGCGTCTACCCCTCCCAGGCATTTTTTAAATTAATTTTTTGATATATAATTCATATACCATTAAATTCACCCTTTCACAATTCACAATTCAGTAGTTTTTAGTATATTCACAAAGTTGTGTAATTATCACCACCAACTCCAGAACATTTTCATCACCCCAAAAAGAAACCCCGTACCCATTAGCAGTCACTCCATCTCTCCCTCCCTGTAGCCCCTAGCAACCACTAATCTACTTTATGTCTTTATGGACTCACTTATTCTGGACAGTTCACATAAATAGAATTATACAATATGTGGCCTTTTGTGACTGGCTTCTTCTACTTAACACAATGTTTTCAAGGTTCATCCGTGTTGTAGCATGTATCAGTACTTCATTTCTTATAGCTAAATAATATTCCACTGTATGAATATACCACATTTTATTTATTCATTCATCCATTTGGATTTTTGGGTCACTTGGTTTGTTTCCACATTTCAGCTATTATGCATAATGTTGCTATGGACCTTCGTGTACAAGTTTTTGTGTATATGCATATTTTTAATTTCTTGGAGATATAACTAGGAGTGAAATTTCTGAGGCACATGGTAATTCTACATTTAATATTTTTAGGAACTAACAAACTGTTTTCCAAAGCAGCTGCACCATTTTACATTCCCCCCAGCAGTGAATGAGGGTCCAGTTTCCCCACATTTTCACCACCACTTGCTATTGTCCATCTTTTTTATTCTAGCCATCCTAATGGGTGTGAAGTGGTATCTCTTTGTGGTTTTGATTTTTCATATTCCTAATGAACTCTCAGGAATATTTGCATTTAATAGGAAACAATCCTTTAATGTACAGAAAATATATTGTCAGCCAAGGATACCATCTGGGAGCAGAAGGCACTTTTCTCTAAAGAATCAGATATGAAGTTGCCCATTCATTCAGTAAATATTTGTTAAGCACCTGTTGTGTGCCAGGCAATGCTAGACATTGGTGTCAGTGGTAAACACAACAGCCTTGGCTCCTTTCCTAATGGAGCTTACATTCTCATGGAGGAGCTAAACATTAAACAGTTAATAATCACATACCTGCTCATTTAATGATGTTAGAATAAGTACTACAAATGGAAGCATATGAAGCTAAGAGGAGTGAGGTAGGAGCCTGCCCAGCTTGAGAAGTCAGGAGAGGCCTCTCTGATACACTGATATTTTGAACATCCTGGCCAGGAGAGCACCTGGCTTGTTAGAGGAGCTGGACTAAGATGGGTATAGACTGAATATACCAAAAGAGAGGGATAGGAGATGAAGCAGGAGCGGGGGAGGCCCAGATTAGACCTGGGGAGGAGTTGAGGGCTTTATTCTGAGTGCAGATGGAAGCCATTGGAGAGCTTTGATAATGGAAGGGATTGATCCATCTGACATATTTTAAAGAGCACTGTGGCTGCTATGAAGCAAAAAGGTTAGGGATGAGGCAAGAATGAGAGCAGATTGACCAGTGAGGAGGTTGTCGTGGTCAGTCAAGAAAGAGACAGTGGTGGCCTGGACTAGGGCAGGGAGTAGTGAGACATGGATGGAGTCTCTTGAGGAGGTAGAAATGGCAACCCTTGTATTATGGGGAATAAAGGAGAATGAGAAATAAAAGATTTCTCTAGGTCTTTGGTTTTTGCAATTTGGCCACTGAGATATGGAAAACTGGAGAAGAAGGGGTTGGGGCACATGACTGGGAGCCCAGTTTTGGACATGTTGAGTCTGTGAGCCAAGCGGAGGTGTCAAGGGAGCAGCCAGCCTCTGCAACATAGAGTCCGTATGTCACGTTCGCTTCTCCAAACACAGGAGAACACAGTGAAGATGTACAGATATGCTGACAAGGGAGTGTAGACTTGTGCCCTGGGAGCCCACGTGTGCCAGAGCAGCATAACTACACCACAGCATGCACACACTTCCTCAGTGTGAAGCTCTTCCTGGAGTGTGGCTTCACCACCACAGAGTTGGGCTGTGCTACCCAAGAAGCTCCTGCCATTACAGAGGAGTGGCCTTTTGGAGGTGGAAAGGCCTGTGGTCACTGTCCCCCACATCCTCTGTGACTAGGTGCCCTCTTGTTCTCCCTTTGTGTCTTTCTGGGGCCCCAGCCTAGTCTCCATGATGACATGGTGCTGGCAGCCCAGGTTCAATGCAACACAGATGGGAGTCCCATCTTTCTTCAGAAGTGTCCTCTGCCTCCCAAGATCTTGATGAGCACAGACATTTATGTGTGACCAGCCAAAGTGTATAGCTGTGGTCTCTGCCACCTGAGTATCCTTGCTATTGTAACCTGCTCACTCGATTTGGGTGGAACAATGAGGGCTCAGTGGTGGGCAGTCCCTGCCACCCGTGGCTGCAGAGGGAGTCAACCTGAGCCTGGCAGGTCTGGGCTGAAGTTTCTCTGGCTTAGCCAAGGTCCCCAGGAGGACCCAGGCCAGTGGTCCACACCGTGTTTGCACTCATCTCCTGATGTCAAGCCTTGGTGCTGACGTGTTCTTCCACCAGCAGCTGGGTGGCTGGTGAAAAAGCACAACTAGGGGTCAGGAACCAGGAGGCCTTGTCACAACATACACTGTGACTCTAGACAGTCACTTTGCCATCCTCTTTCTTTACTCCTTTGCAATGCAACTGAAGGGCAAGACAGCTGGAGGGTCCTCCCAGCTGCAGGATTTTACAACTTGTAGGTGTGGTCTCCTCAGCTGTTTCTCTTCTCTGTCCCTTTCTTAGTTCCCTGGGTCTCAATGACCCAGAAGTGGGGCAGAGACCAGCAGGAGGCTTCCTCTCCCAGCCAGCATGTGGGTGCCAGCTGGGTTAGGGCTTGAGCACAGGAGACCTCAGCACAGTGGAGCTCAAGAGTGCCAGTTCAGCAGCAGGCATGGTGTGGAGGGGAAGGTGGGAGCTGGCTCTGCCCGCTGGGTTTTATCAGAGAGCTCCTCAGACATATACAGAGGCAGAGCTGTGTATACACTGCAGTCCCCCGCGCTCCATCTGTCTCCCCACATGTCTAAACAGTGAGGGCGCCAAGTGCCTGCCCTCCTCCTCTCATCCTCCACCCCCATTGCTGAGGGGAGCAGTGGGGACTCAGTACCCCTGAGGAGACAGGACCAGCCAAGGTGGGTCGGGCCACCTCAATCAGGAGGCCACTGCTAGGTGGGAGCGAGAGGCCCTCAGAGCCCCGGAGAGCTGAGGCGGGAGTAGGAACCCGTTTCCGCTGCTCAATCTGGACACACAGACTGGGGCATTATCTTACAGATGAATACTGATGTTTGGGGCAAGAATTTCCACTTGAAACCAGCTTTCTGGATGCCATCCCCAATGGGGGAGCAGAGCGTTATTTTCCCTTCTCTGACGAATATGATCAATCGGATGTGAAGGCTGTTAGCAGGCCTAAAGCCCAGTCTTGCTCTCACCCAGTTTTCACATCCCAGCTGCCCCCCACCCTGTCCCCAGCCCTATCTCCTCCCCAGCACCCTGAAGCCCATGATTTATAGCCTGGACTGTCCCGGGCCTGGAGGCTCTCTCCAGAGGCGACAACTGACTATGTTGAGGAGGGGGACTGCCTGGCCTGGGGGATGCAGAGAAGACCTTGGATGCTTTATGGAGATGGGACATAGTGGCCTTCATAGTATTCCTGGGAGCCTTGGAGCCAGTCCAGCCCCTGGGAGAAAACGGGGAGGGTAGAAGCTAGGGTCCCCCCACACCTCCCCAGACCTTAAGAAATGACAATGTCCACAAGGTTTCACTCCTCTCACAGCCCTAGTCCATGTGAGAGCCTGAGCAGTGCAAACGGATGTAGGTGTCTCCTCCCTGCACCATCTCCTGACTTTGCTCCCCATGTTAGACATCAGCTTCTCCTCCAGCTGCAGTGAAGCCCCCAGTAAGACAGGCAGGGAAGGGGAGTGGCAGGCCCTTATTCCAGCAGAGGAAGCAGTTTCTGCCCTCTTCTCACCTCCTCCGAAAGAAGAAAACCTTCCTGGCCTGTGGATGTTTGCCCAGAGCATGAGTACAGGATCGCAGTGGGCCGGAGCTCACAGTGGCCTCCCCTTCACCTTGTTGGTGACTGGGAAGGACCATGAGACCTTCCCTCCCCAGACCTTCCTGCAGTCTCTGGTGATCTTCCAGTTTTGAGATGGGCCATCAAGGGCCATGAAGGAGGTGATTCCTGGGGACCAGAGGTGGTCTCAGTGGGTCATCGGCACATGTCTCTCATACCCCCAGTGAGCACCACTCTGTCATCGTGGTCGGGGCATGTTTTGAGATGGGCCATCAAGGGCCATGAAGGAGGTGATTCCTGGGGACCAGAGGTGGTCTCGGTGGGTCATCGGCACATGTCTCTCATACCCCCAGTGAGCACCACTCTGTCATCGTGGTCGGGGCACGCCAGGAAGTGCAACGAGACAGCCAAGTCCTATTGTGTCAATGGAGGCGTCTGCTACTACATTGAGGGCATCAACCAGCTCTCCTGCAAGTAAGTGACCAGTGGGGGTGGGCAGGGGCAAGGGCGGGGAGGAGACGCTGGGGCAGAAGTGGAGGGCTCTAGGAAAAGTGGGCTTCAAGCCGCTAATAGGGGGTCCCCGGGGGTATAGACAGGGAGGTTTGCCCACTTCCTAGCCCTTTCCTGGAATATAAGGAGATGTAAGCTCTAAAGGGCACAGGGGCTTCTGTAGTCCCAGTTTCTCAGGCCCCTACCTGCCCATCTCCTGATGTCCACTCTTTCACCAACACCCTTCAGGGAGATGGGGATGCCAGTCTATGCCCTGGGCACTGGATTCTCTCTCTCTCTATTTCTCTCTCTCTCCCCCCTCTTCCCCCCATTTCTTAGCAACTCTCTAAACTTTGTTCTTGATGAACATGTCCCAGGCTGCATCTTCCCCCATGGTGAGGAGCCCAGCAGGGTCAGATAGAGCACGGGTTCCAGAGTCCTTGCAGTTGAGTGTCCTGCTCCCATAGTCTTGAGGGGAGAAAAGGGGTCTGCCCAGAACCCACTGCTGACCTCGGCATCTGGCTTAGGGTCCCCAGTGTCCAAATATGTCCTGGGTGCTACCTGTGCCCCTTCAGCCCCTAGCCTCCTCTCTATGGCATGAGAGGACACCAGCGAGGACACTACTCTGGGTGTGGCTCAATGGGGGAGGTCAGGGCAGAGGAGAGGCTCAAGTCAGAGTCTCTCTGCCTCCCCAAGGGCCAGAGCCTGCTCACCAGCCAGGCAGGGTGGACCCAGTAGGAACTCTAAGGATCTCAGAACCACCAGCTCCCCATAGCAAGTAGAGCAGGTGGGCACGTGGCAATCAGGAAGGGCAGCTGGGCCCACAGTGCCCCTGTGGCAGATTCTCTGGTGGCCATGTGAGGAGGAGGAAGGGAGCTTGGTGAGGGAAGTAAAGGCTCTGGCCAGCTCTCAGGGAGGAGAGGGAGGAAGGCCTAGTTAACAACTTCAGCGTCTCAACCATCCCAAGTCTAGAGCCCCAGGAAGGTGCCAAAGCTGCCCCATTCCCATGGCATCTGGGCACAGGCCACCAGAGTATTGATGGCGATTCA